ACCACGGCCCGCGGCCTGACGCCCCGCCACCCCCGCGCGCCACTCGCTCGGATGGACCGAACAGGCGTGACGGGACACCGCCGCTCTGTTCACGGGCTCCCGCACGTCCTTCTGCCGCCTGCCGCGCGAGAAACGACTTCCCCGGCGGCAGCCCTTTACTTCCAGAAGTAGAAGCTTCCTTCTGAGAAGGAAGAGAAGTCACCTCTTCTGCCTGCTGCAGAAGAGAAGGTGATGGTTTGATGTAAACGTGGGGGTCAACTTTGTACACGAAAAAAAAAACAACCCACCAAGCAAAAAACCCAAACAAACCAGCCACAAAAGAATACAGTACTTTAATAATCCAAAACTTGTACTGGTTTACAGTCTGACAGCATATAGTGCTGATATGCTAAAACACTCAATTCATGTTTCCTCAATGGAAATTGAACACTTGCTCGTTTGTAGCTTACAAACAGTATTACTCAAGCTGTAGAGAGAATGAGGCTATTTCTTTAAAATACAACAGTAAATAGATAATTGCTTTGGAATATAGGCTATGTTTCTGTGCTTAGTTTGGAACCAACAGAATCAACAACGTGGGGTCGTTTGACTTATGCTTTAAGCCTGCAAAATAATCAAGAAGGAAAAAAGTATCGCCTCTCTTGGAAAAAAGACCATGTGTTTATGGTAGCTGGTTATCAAAGTAATACCACTTTTGCACTCAAGAAAAATTAAGTCATACACAAGATCTCACTACACTTGATAGCAAAATTAGACTTTGGTTTACAATTCCTGACTACAGACTGAATTCCTTCATTTATTCCATAAAGGATATACATAGTAGGCACAAAAGTGATTGTTGTAACTGTTCCATGCACGATGCCAAGTGTCTTGCAACAATTTGGAGGGCCAAACTCCTCTGGTTAAAAAAACCTAGTTTTCTAAGCCCAGCCTGTCAGATATCTGTCCTGAAAGTGCCCACAAGCAGTCAAATACTTAGCTGCTGTCCACAGAGCCAAACCAATTATTAAGGTCCACTACTATTGTCTGTGACAGGACACCTGAGAGTTGGAGCCTAAAAGCCCCTGCCTTTGATTGGAATACAAATCATTAAGCAGCTAAACTTGATTTAATAAAGTAAGGAAGGGATTTGGGCTATCGTTTCCATAATCCAGCCTTCCATTTTTCTCCTCAAGCAGGAGATAACTGCCTAATCCTGTTAGATAATGGTAAAATAAATCATCATGGAATCACAATACGTGAACAGATTTCATGAGCTTGCAGCCCTTCAAGAAATGAAGGAAGACATTACAGCCTGGTTTTTTGACACAAAATGATTATGGTGCCTAGCAAATAAAAAGTACAGCTTTAGGCAACTCAGCACATGACATGCGTTGGCCATGTTTATACAGCACTGTCTGCAAAAAGACACATAAATTGTGACTTTGTGCATACTATACAAGAACTTAAATTTCAAAATCTAAAAAGTTCTTGAAAATGTACAAAAGCCAAAACAAAAAGAAGCCCTTTTTATTACTAGTCAGATTACTTCTCATTGTTTTGAGGTTATAGTATGTATAGTCTTTGGTGTTAACAGAATTAATTCCGACTTGCTTTTCAGAGTACGCATTTATTTGTAGTTATAATAAAAGGCTGATTTTGAAATAGGAGAAAAAAAATGTTCTTCCACAAGTATAAACCAGTTATGTACATCCTCACTGAAGGCACTATAGTTTAAAATTCTCTGTACAGTTGCAGTAAAATTCAAAGTCTGTCTTTAAAGATGCAAAACAAGATTTGCAGCAAATTACAACATGGGCACAGTGTCAGAGAGTTGCTCTGTTAAGTTTTTACAGTACAAACAACCTGATGCAAAAACCTCAGTCCAATATGTTTGCTATACATAAAATGCTCACCATATTATGATCCTTTGATGGAAACAGTTGTCAGTTGAATTCTCTGTTGCTATAAGCATAGCTGAGCGCTCCTTTAGAACATTTTTGTGAGTTTATGATCTCAAGACAACATTGAGCAAACTAATACAGTACAGTCCAAACAGACCTACACCAAAAAGCCGCTAGATTTTTCATATTATTTCAAGGAAGTCTACTGTGATTATGTACAGAAGTTGAAGTGATTCTTGTTGCCTTATTAGTTTGCTTAAAGAACTTTAAATACTTTAATAACTACTATGCCATACTGATTTGACGCTGCATATTGGTTAATTTCTGCATGTCTTATGTAGTGTTTCAACATCAAGACGTATGTACAATAGAAAAATCCTTTCTTAAAGAAGTGTTACCTCATTGCTCTATTAAAAAAAGGATTGATTTATAAGAAGTACTAATAGCTTAATGCAACAGCTTGGGAAAAAAAAAAAAAAAAAAAAAAGGATTTTTCCCATTTGCCAGCAACTTAGGACACTGGTTTTACAGATAAGACTGCTTTTCCTGTACAGAATTATGCAGAATTTAACAAATGCATGTCCACTACTTCTAGAGAAATTGATACTTATGAATGTAGATAAGGATTTTTAAACAAAGACTATAAACTAAATAATGCTGATGAACACATGAAATCAGTCTAAAAACATATCCAGTTTAGACACCGAGCAAGATACAGTTACGGGACCTTTTGAAAAAGACTTTAAGGATTTATGTGTAATAGAAAAACTGTCACTTTGCAAGGCTCCTACTTTTTTTTTTTTTTTTTTTTTGCTTAAGGCTTCCACTTTTTTATTAGTCCCACAAATCTCTTGGGAGAAGACCTTAGCCAATTTATTTTTGTTTCATTTAAAGGGATGCCTTTAAACTTAATTACAGTATCAAGAACTAACCAAAAATAAAAAAGAAGAATTACAAGTAAGATAGCTGTGAAAGATTTCTCTTCAGTGCATATGAACAAGGCTGAACAGCTCTACACAATAAGTCCAACTGTTGTGTGAAGAATCCCTTATCACTAACGCATTGTTTTCAAGAATATACACACGCCTCCATGTAAATAAGCACCCCTGGATTTTCTAACAAACATTTCAATTGGGTCATTATCTGCCCAATGATCTTGTATGTCCCATTCTTTGACTACAGACAATTATACCATTGATTTGCAATTACATTTTTAGTAGAAAGCACAGCCGAAGTCTTGAAATACAAAAAAAGTTCTTAAAAAACAACCAAAAACTATGGTACAGAGACTGGTGCAGTTACTGTGTCTCAAGCTGAAAAAACATGATGCATACCAGCAGATTATCAATATAGCTTTGCTTTAAAAGGAATGGAGTTTCCAGTCTTTTCCCTTCTAACCCAGGTAAATGTAGTCCAAGATTGCCAAAGCCCACGGTGATGAGCGTGCCTTGACGACCCTTGAATTCTCCACACTGTTTTGACAACAGGATCTACTAATTGTCTCCTTCAACCCTTCTCTTGCGAACTGTAACAAGAGAGAAAAAAAAAATCTTTTACTATTTTATCATTATAACTACTTTTTGTATTTCTACATCATCAACAGTTAAGGGAACCATACTAGTGATTCCCTACTTTGTCACATGGTTTCACATAGTACAACTTAAGGTAATTAACACTTAGTATCACCCATTATTTTAAGCTTATGCTTTTGCAGTGCTTACTGTGTTCTTCTTGAACAGCTTCAAATATTTGTGAGACAGACTTGTGGGAAAAAATATTTTATGTTTGGTATGTGGATTTAGCCAGTACTCTTTCTACATTGCAGTTTTCTAGTGGTGGAAAATTAAGCTTACGTGGCTTCAAAGGAAACAGTACAAGAGTTTCATAGTGTATACAATAAGATTTATACACTTTGAAAAAAATGAAGTTACATTCAATAGCCTAAATCATTCCATTAATTAAAAAAATATTCATTTGGCAGAAAATACAAGAGCAACAAAAATTTGTTAATAAGATCACTAAAGCTCACATGCTGTTTAGACTTAAGAATTCACAAGATTGACTGAATAACTGGAGTTTTGCTCAATATTTGTAGTATTTTTAATTGATATTTTTATTTTTCCCCTATCAAATTGTGTTTTCCTTTTCTGTGCAGACAAAACAAATGAAGCTAAGCGTCTTAGAAATTATATAGGGCATCTCTCCATTGTTTAAAAAAGTGGAGCAAGCGCATCTATATAAGAAGAAAGTGATTCTGTTCTCAAATCCACCAATTGGAAATTATGTCGTTTTACAGATCTTTGCAATTTGAGTTGATTTTCTTTACCTTCAGATCAAAATAGCAGAGGGAAAGTGGTTTTGTTTCCCATCCCTCTTCCTGTCTCAAGAAGTGCTTTACATACAGTCTAAAGAAACACTCAGAATAGGATCACACTAGAATTTTACTCTTTACAAAGCCAATGTATTGCTCACTTTGGGAGTAACCCATAGACTTATCTCCATTTGAATCCAAATAATTTTCACCAGTGACAGAAGTTATGCATACCTGCTTTCATCAAGTTGCAAGAACATATGGAAGAGTTTCCAACCTTAGCCTTCTGCAATCGTGCAGCTAAAAGCAGCACGTACACAGTTTCAGACAAGGAAAAGGGAAGTGGTACAACACAGTGTAAACAAGGGAGAAAGAAGAGGTAGACTGGTTTGTTTAGAAGAAACATACGAAGACAGAAATAAAAGACTTTGAACATCTCAGTTTTCAGTGCTCAATACCCAACTGGGTATTCAGAGTAACCTGTCTCTGTAGCTTCAGCGCTGGAGAGATGAAAAGGTATTTGCAGAAACTTTTACTTGCATACTCCAGACTAAGAAAGCAAAGAAAAAAAGGCAAGGTATCAATAGAAACATAGATTTCCAACAGTCAAATACTAAAATGAGAACTAGTGAAAAGAGAAACCTTAAAGGAAAGTAAACACACACCTGAAGCATTATAATGAAAAAATAAGAACAACTGGTTTAGAATCTATTTTGAGAAACAATTATGCAGCGTCTGAGTGCCTTTCTTTTCTCTCAATGCTCTATTTTACTACTCCATTTTTTCAGAGCTGTTCTTCTCCATTTTAAACTTTACTCAGAGGGGAAGCAGATCTTTAAATCAAATTCCAATTTCCTATGTCATTCCCTCTAATGTATTCCTGAACTACTGCCACTACTACTAAACTGCTTGGCCTATTTTCATGCTGGTGAGATGTGTAATCCTTACCACAAAGCACCTAAAGCCAAAAAGTTTAATTAAATGGAGTTTTAAAATGTAATTCTATTTAAATAGATGGACCACATTATCTTCTTGTAGTTGTGAGCTTCAAGTATTTGACATTATTATACAAAGTACTTCCATTCATGTGTTATATCATTAGCCAATTTTCTGCTAGTCCATTTAGTTAGGATTCTAACAGATGAGCTCCAACAAAACTTACTGCAACAAATAAAAATGCCACTGCTGGCAGCTACCTTTAAGTTTCCAGGCTCAAGCAATCCAAATGAGACTGGGTGTGCTGGCACTGAAGAGGGCATCCTGCACTATCAATTTCAAGTACTGCTTTTAAACAGTGAATCTTATCTGAATAAAACTGATCAAAAGTATTATTTTCCCTCGCTTTGCCACAACTCATGGAATTTGAATGTACTTGTTCTAAAATACGCTAAAAATCCTTGACTCATACACCTGAACACCTTGCAACAAAATAAAAGGAGAACATCAAGTAGCAACAGAAGAGTGAGAGTAGGAGTAAAGCACAGGACAAACCTGAAACTGATCTACTCATATTTTGGTTATGTCAACAAAAAAGCAGAAAAACAGACACCTTTAAAACCTCTGCCACGCACATCCATTTAATAGTCACTCTCTACTGACAGGTCTTACCCAAATCATTATTTTTCGTGATAGCTGCAGCTGCCCTGGCTCGAGGTCCCTGTTGTGTGAAGTGGTATCCAAATTTGAGGATCTTGGTGTTTTCTTCAAGCATCTTGGCAATTTCTACTTCTGCAACTGTGCCCAGCTGCTGCCTCTGTTAAAACAAAAAGTACACAAAAACAACAGAGCTTATGTCTCTTCAGCCTAAAAGAGATCAGAATACTTTCATCATATTAGTCAATAAACAGTTTCATTTTGATTAATCTAAAAGGCAGAAGGTCATAAGACACAATTATGCACTTTAAAGCACAACCAAGCGCAGAAGTGACCAGGAATCAACTTCAACTGGATGCTTCTGAGAATCTTAGGGACAATCATTCATGGGGTGAAGATATTTAAAAAGTAAAATGTTTTGGAAAGTTTATCACAAGCTGCCTTCTAAAAATATTCAGTCAACTAGGACAGAGTGATTTTAATTATGATATTACCACCACCTCACTTACCTGATTATCAATTTTGATTTCTGTCAATGTTTCATTGTCTTTCAGTGCATCGACCAGTGCCAAAATTCCAACTCCAGTGATGAAGTTTGATTCTATGTTTAAACTTTTTAATTTTGTGTTTACTCTCAACATATCTGCAAGAGCCTTTGAATGAAAGAAAGCATCATTAAACTTTTGAATTTTGCAACAGTACCTCACAGGACACAGTGATAACCATTTCCACTAACTAGTTCAATAGGAGCAACAAGTTCACAGACTCATGGTGTAACTTTGCAAGTTTTCACTCATTATGTGAGACTGAAGTGAGTCTTCAACCAGGCATTATCTACATTCCCTTTTTGAATAGTATTTAGTCAAGAGAAGGCCTGCCTTTCTCATGTTACAAACTAAAAAGCTACACAGAATATAAATTGTCTGAAATTAGCATATTGGACCAATTCCATTTCGTAAGCCTTCACAGAATACAACGAGTAATGCAAGCTGCTAAGTAAAGGCCAAAGAAAGGGCGTTAGTCAACTGAAAAGAGAATTAGATATGGTTAATTTGTAAACAGGAGATCTGACTTTCAAAATGCTTGTGTCTACAGATTTGGTAGGAAGCAGTGAAATGCAAAGCTCTAAGCACAGTTCCAGCATGTAGCTAAAAGCACTTATAGAAATGGCTTACACCTGATCTTATTTCTGAGAAAATAAGAAAACAAGAATAGGTAACTGCTGAGGTTTATTATCATAAAAATCATAACCTTTAAGTTCTTTTGTGTCAAGTCATAATGCAAAAAAAAAATCCCCAACAGAACCGCACCCGAGAGAACAAGCCTCTATAGATTTTTATTACAAATGTTTCAGTTCTACTGAAAAGGAACTTTTTAATCGACCCAAACCATAGCTTTCAAATGTTCATTTAACGGAGTGTTTCAAACTAGGTTTTTTCCTAATTTGAAATTAAAACAAAGGATTGTCCTGGCACAACAGTCAGTGCCATTTTCTTACCTCTTTATTTGTAAACAAATAAGGTACTGCTTTTGATTCGACATAGGAAAAACAGGACCAGGTGATAAATACTTAGGTTTCAATTGTGTCAAACTAGATACTAGTTGACTAATATTATGCTTTATATGCCAATGCTTTAATCCAAAATCTCCAGCAGGGAGATCAGAGAAACCAGTATTTTACAACTTTATTTAACTAAAACTCTAGTTAGTTGAAAAAGATTATGAACTTTTTCAGTCCTCAAATGCGCTTCTTTTACAGTTAATTTTGAATATACTATTGGCTTGTGGAATGAACATCAGGAACTAAACAATGAGGAAAGAAAGAAAAGCAGGAAGGAGGTTAGCAAAATGAAAAGTCAGGGAGAAGAGACTGGGGAAAAAATAATTCTTGTTCATCTCATACATCTGGCACATTGCTGCATATTAGTCAACTAGTAATCATTTACCAACTTCAGTACAACAAAGGTTTGTTAAAGAAAACATACTTTACAGTATAACTGAATTTAATAATTTTCATCCCAAATTATTTAAACAGGATTCAATTTAATCCCTTACCGTGTCTTTCCATCCTAACTTCCCTTGCCCCACACTTGAGCAGGTTAGCAAGAGTACTTACAACAGCAACAGGATCATTGCTTCGGGTGGCTGCAAGGCTGAAATTCTGCACATGCGTGTTGGTTTCTAAGGCTTTTGCAAATTCTTTCAGCGTTGGAATTGGTATGTTCTTGAATTAAAAATAGCATTTCACTCTCTTGAGATACACAAGTTTATCCCCTCCCTCCCAACTTCTTCCATTATCTTATTCTCTTTACAGCAAATCATGCTATAATATTAACTATCGCTGCTCTCCAGAAGTGTTAAAAAATACTTAGCTGACTTGGAACTGTTACTGAGCAAAATTTACATGAACTGAACATTCTGCTATCAGCATCAAATTAACCTTTCACAAATATAAAAAGATTTAGAGCTTTGAACTGGTGAAACCATTAGCATTTCATTCTCTGTGTTCTATTAAGAATAATTCCAGAATTTGCCAATTTATAGTTTGATAATTTTTGCTGTGTAGTTGCAGCCAAGTGTAAAAGAAATAATTTTAGATAATTAATTAGGGTAGCAAATTTCTCAGTTTATTATATCAGCAGTTTTGCTCTGTTGCCTTTTTAGGCATTTATTTTGGCTAGCATTTCTCTACTGTACAATATTCTTAAACCACGTATTTCATTTTCTTCCTTTAGTAAGGGCAACAAATAGCCTAGGTTGCTAGCGAGGCTGCAGCTGGCAGCCCGTCACCGCTGTCTGCACAGTAAGTCAGAGTGCTATAGTTCTGTTTTCTCTCATGCAAATATACAAAAGTTTTAGTCATATTTAAAAACACAACTGTTACGCTTAGGAGCAGAAGCGGCCCTAATTGCCGACAGCTCTTTTGTACAAGAATCAGAAGGATGTCAGGTACAACTATCACTTTGTTTGCAATAGCAGTAACGGAGAGCACATTGCTTCATCAAGACAAAGGATTCAAAGTAGTAGTTAACTCCAGGATGGCCAACTCCTGGAACTGTTGCCAACTTGGCAGCAACAGAAATCTGGGCTAGCATTACGAAAATTTAAGACTTTTTAAATACACATTTGGCAAAAGAAACCGAGATGGCTTATCGGTTTAGCTCCAGGTTTCTGAGATTACACACACTGCAACATAAATGTTGCAGAAAGGCTGCTGTACTTAAAATAAGCCTACCATGCTCTCTCGTAGAGTTTTACGGCTTAAAGTGTCTTCTGCTGAGAAAAAGCAGCATGTTTACTGCAGACTTCAGGTAATTACCTTAATGTTATTTAGATTAACTTCAACAAGACGGGAATCATTATCTTTAATCCTTTGCAGTGTCTCCTCCACATTTGTGGGATTTGGTGGTTCATCAAAAACAGGCAACATTTTTTCACCTTTTACTATATCTGAAAAGGCATTCAATTGTAATTAAACAGGTCAGGTACATTCACTGTGAATAAATGATACTCAACTAAATATTTACTGTATTTAAAGATCACTTCATCAGCCTTTTCATCTCTCCCCCACCCAAAAAGCATACCATCCTCTCCTGACCATATTTTCATTAAAGTTCAATTATTTTCTAAAGGTCCTCACAGCCTTTCTGCTTTTCTTGCACATGAGCTTTTTTCAGAAAGCATGTGGGAGTTGAATTACAAACACAAACATGAAACCTAAAAACTAACACACACAAACGCATGTTTGTGTCTTTTATTTCCCCAAGAGTGAATTAACTGCAGAATAGATTTTAGTGTACATATTTTAATTCCACTCTTACCAGAACTCAATTAGCAATGTCATAGACATGCATATTTCCAGTTCAAGACTGAATAGTCTATAAAGAATGCTAGTGCAACAGAAAATAGTTAATGCTATAGTAACTGTGTGCAGTATAAAGAACTCATTTTTCTAGCACTTGTGTACACACTTACTTGAGAAGCTGTCTTTGTCAATCCCATTACTGCTTCCTACTACGTCACAGAACTGATTGTTTGTTATCAAGTTGGACATTCCCAGTATAGCTGCAAAATGAAAAAAAAGAAAAAGCAAAAAATGAGTTTTACTCTTCCCGAATAATTCAGCTCAGATACAGAGTTCCTGTAAATAATAACTAATGCTTGCAAAACACCCAGTTATCAGTACAATAAGCCATTCTACCTCTTAATAATTTAAAGAAAAGTAGAAAAAAATAATTATAGACTTTTTAGTTGGCTTTCACATCTTAAAAATTTGACCTCACCAGATTCAAGCATCAAAGTTAAAAGTGCAGTTCAGTCACAAAATTCTTGATTGAAGCTTTAGGACTACGGGCACATAGCAACATAATATTTTATGCAAGAAAAAGCGGTAGTTTACACAACAAAAAACAGCTAGTCTGAGGAATGACCATAAAGGTTTTGAGTTGGAAAATCAGATATCTTTTGCAGGCCAAAATAATCTACCTTCCTATAAATTATCAGAAATCAACAAACTTGATATGCTACAAGCAAACCGGCATATAACAGAATCCAGTTTCTATCACAACTACAACTTCCTATAGTCACATTCCAGATAACACATAAACTACCACATTAATTATAGATCTTTCTAAATACACACCAGCCCAATTCATACTTCAAAAAACCCTCTAACCTGCAAGGTCACCCAATTCTGTGTCTGTGGCACTGGTCAAGGCTTCCTCCAGTTCCGGATCAAGAGAGAATTTTTCTTCTGTATAAGACTGTACAGGCTTTTGCTTTGGGATAAATATTTTCCCTGGAGTAATGAAAATGAAAAGTCTGATGTTACTTTGTATTATATAGCTACTTATCTTTAAACTTTTCTGTACTTAAGGAATACATATTACACTTAGTAAATCCTAAGAGCAGCACCAAGGACAACATAAAGGAATAAGGTTTCTTTTGTGTTCTTGAAAGTCAGAGATGAGAAAAAGCATAAGCAGGAATATAACACTTCTTATTCCAAATTTTCACGTATCATGACTCCAAACTTATTTGTTTCTCCAAAGGATTAGAAAGTAAAGTATAAGCCTCCATTATACATTTTAAACAGCCTAG